ATGAATTTTAATTATACTAAATTTAAATTTCCTCAACTCAAGAACCATGCTTGGCACAAGAACTTTCACTAGAGAATGTCATCGCAGTCCGTGGATCTAGTATCGAGACTGTTGTAATAGTTGCAAGTTTTATGATGCATCACTTTGGAGTCATGCATGCACTTGTTCTTTAACTAACTTAGGGATTCAAAATGTCTTCTATCAAATGGACGAACTTCATCTCCTTTGTTTAATTTCAAACCACAAGAGTTGAAATCTGACACACATGATTTGCAAGGCTTGATAGGCGAAAACTGAAGAAAGCAAAATCTATGTTGGCAGGATTAAGGATTTATCAAGATCCTTGAAAGATCCATTTGTGAGGAGATAAGTGTATGAATCTTAGTTATATCAAATTCAAGTTTATCTCAAATCAAGACTCAATCTTGTCACAAATTCTTTCAAAAAATATTGTTACCAAAGATCTTGGATCTAGTATCAAAGCTGTTGTAAAATTTGGTAAATTTACGATTCATCTCTTTAAATTCATGCATGCATCTATTCTTTGACAAAATAAGAGATTCAAATTATCTTTAACCAAACAACTGAACTTTAACTCTTGGTTTAATTTGAATTCACAAGAGTTGAAAGATGTTACATATGATTTCTTGCAACATTTGATAACCGAACAAGCAATGAAACAAATATTATGTTGGTAAGATTTAGGGTTCATTAAGATACTTTGAACATCAAGTGAATAATTCTAATTTTATACTAGATTTAAATTTTTTCAAATCAATATTCATCCTTGAGCACAAGATATTTCATCAAAAAATGTCACTTGAGGATGTGGATCTAATGTCAAAGCTCTTGCAATATTTGCATAGTTACGATGCACCGCTTTGAAATCATGCATACATCCATTCGTTGATGAACTTAGAAATCTAAACGGTCGTCTATCAAACAATTGACCTTTGGTTCCTCTATTTTAATTTTAAACCACAAGAATTGAAAGATGAAACACATGATATCTTGCAACACTTGATATCCAAACACACAAGAAAGCAAATCCAATGTTGGCAGGATTTAGAATATATCAAGATCTTTGAAATATTTATTCGTGAGGATATCAATATATTTGAATATTAAATACCAAATTTAAATTTACTCAAATCAAGACTCCTTCTTGGCACAAGATCATTCATAAGAGAATTTCACTGTAGGTTGTAAAACTAATTACGATAATGTTGCAATATTTGCCAAATTTATGATGCATTGCTTCGAAAAAATGCATACACTTGTTTTTTGACAAACTCAGATAAATAAACGGTCGTCCATTGAACTGCTGAGCTTCACCCATTTGTTTAAGTTCAAATCACAAGAATCAAAAGCTGCCACACATGATCTCTTGCAACACAGATACCCAAACACGCAAGGAAGCAAATCCTATGTTGGCAAGATTTAGGTTTTATTCGGGTCTTTGAAACATCCACTCGTGAGGAGATCAAGTATATGAATCTTTATTATACCAAATTTAAGTTTTCTTAAATCAAAAACCACCAGTGGCACAAGATCTGTCACAAGAGATCGTGGATCTAGTATCAAGAGTATGGTAATATTTGCCAAATTTATGACGCCTCGTTTTGAAGACATACATGCATTCGTTCTTTGACTAACTCATAGCTCCAAACTGTTGCATAGTGAATGGTTAAGCTTTACCTCCACTGCTTATTTAAAAACCACACATATTGAAAGATGTCACACATGATTTCTTGCAATGTTTGACACCCGAACAAGCAAGGAAGCAAATGTTATGTTCGCAAGATATAGGTTTTATCAAGCTTCTTAGAAAATCCACCGGTGAGATAATGAAATGTATGAATGTTTATTATACCAGATTTTAAGTTTCCTTAAATGAAGATCCACCCATGGCACAAGATCTTTAACAAAAGAATGTCACAGGAGTTGATGGATCTAGTATCGAGGCTGTTGCAATATTTGCCAAATTTACGATGCACCGATTTGGAGGCATGCATGCATCCATTCTTTGATATATTCTTTGATACGCCTACAAAACTACTGATATGTATCCCCTCTGTTTAATTTCACACCACAAGAGTTGAAAAGTGTTACACATGATCTCTTACCATGCTTGATGCTGGAACACGCAAGGAAGCAAATTCTATGTTGGCAGAAGGTTTAGGATTGCACGTGAAACAGAAAGAGTCAGTGATTGCTAGAGTGAAGTAGCAAGAGGTCAAGTAAAACGGTGTAAGACAACGTTATCTCTGGTATCTTATCTTTGCTATATTTCCTCCGTCTGAGAGATAATCGAATGCGAGACGCATATCAAAAGTGAGGAGAAAAAAACGGAGGCCGCGATGGTGGTCAATCAGTAGACGGACAAATCAATAAGCTTCAATGATTTATACGCTCAAGCGCTGTTAGATGCTGCTTCGTCCTGCCGACTTTCGGTTTGTAAAACCTTGCTTCTCTCATTAAAATTTGAAAGGAGCAACAACTGCTGCGCAAACTCTGCACACAAATTTTGTACGTTTGTTTTGAGAAATCTCGCTTCTCTCGACAATATCTAAAGGGAGCAGCAACTGCAACGCCAACTCTGCCAAAACTTTAGTACGTTTGTTCCCAGCGTGTTGGATTGAATCTTGAGAAAGATGTCGCCGCCAGTTAAAACATACACCGAGTTGTAGAATGTGTGAATCCTAAATCTTCTCTGAAATATTAGTAAAACTCTAGAAGTCTACTAAAAAAAAGATAGAACTTTTGAAAGAAATTTCATCATTTTTTATTGTATTAATAAAATATCAAATCTCTTCTTTCTTCAATTTTTCAATTTATGATAATCATCTATTTTTTACCCATATTTGAAAAATGATTTCTGTAATTTTTTTCTTTTTTTAAATTTTTAATATACGGAAAGATAAACCTAATCATTACATTGTTCTAAATACTAACAAGATTGATTTGAAGATTTTTCTTCTTTTTTTTATAGTTCATTTTTAGTGTAACTGATTTTTGGTATCAAGATCTTCAAAGATTTTTTCAAACTTGAAAATGTTTCACTTCCGTTCAAATGATAACGTATAGCATTTATTTTTTACACAAAAATAAAAGGTAAATCATCAACGTTGTAGTAAAATTTATTGTTTATTTGCATAGAAAGTTCAACATTTGGACCATTTCTAGATTTGTGCGTGTCATCATTGGGCAAGGGCCATTCTAATCTTTTCTGTATCGTTCCAATTTTATAGTATGTCACGGAAGGTAGGCATTACAACACAATCCTTAACTACTAAATGTCATTTACTTCAATTGAGATGATCAAGATGGTAAAACTTATCAAAATTACTTTAATAACTTGAACAAACTCTAGCATGTGTTAGTCTTTGTCCACGTATGACCATCATTTTATTTCTCAAATCATCAAATTTTTAATTTAACCATTTTTAGTTTTTTTTATCATTGAAAGACTACATCAGATAAAATACATTATAAGGGATTGAAATATTGTGTAAAATACAAAATCTGATGTTTTGATTAAAACATCAGATTTTGAATCTTTCAATGTTTAATATATATATATATATATATATATATATATGACGTTCATAATCTAAAACGTCTAAACATACAAAATAGCTTGATATTCGATGTACTTGTATATTTGATGCAAGGCAAACTGTGAATTTAATATTGAAAAGCAAAATTTTCAAATATTTGAATAAATTTTGTGTTGAATTTCAACGTCATCTACTGAAACATACCTTTCAACATAAAATACTCGATTCGCATTCAGCTTCATATTCTACTCAAATGTGGCTTGCCAATGTGTTGTGTTTTAATAATTCATCATCTTGCTTGATTCTTGTTACTAAATGATGAATCAACAAGCCACTTTTTCAAAATTGATGATTAATATTTGTTTTCAAAAAAAATCTACTACTACTATATGTGAAAACAGATGGTACAAACACATGGGTGTTTTTAGCAAGTAGCCAAAGTTGCTTAGCTAGAGTGAAGGTTTTTTTTATAATAATTCCTCTTTTGGATCATTTGAAGAGCATCAAATCACGGAATAAAAAAAAAAACTTTCTCTTTACTGTAAGTGTATATGGTCTTTATTGTAAGTATTTATGGTGACAACAAAGTGACATCAGCAAACATCTAATGTAACAAACGTATGACATTGGCACTCACAGTTTTGAATTCAATAATTTTCTAACAGAAATTGTCAGAAAAAAATCAAAATTTACTGAGACACAAATAAATAAAATACATATAGAATACATTCAATCCAACTTGTTGAAACTTTGTTTATTTGAAATGTAGAATATTTTTTTTAACATTAATTTTTGTCATAAAAAACTTAAACTGAATTTTTAATTAAAGTAGGTTAATTAATTCAACCAACTGTATTAAAAGTAACAAGAGTTTTATAAACCTTAGTGCAGTGTCAATAATAAAAACACTCAATCTAGTAAAATATTTCCAAATTTAATCTGTTTGATTAACCTTAGATTTATGAGATATATACCTAATCAACATAATTTTTTAAAATAGACATCTTTTTAAAAAATTCTAAATCTCTCTAAAAGATTTGAATGTGTTCTTCAATCTTTATGAAAAATAATTGCGTGATGAATTGTGTGATATTTATTTTTGTTTGTCTAAAGGTCAAAATCGCGAAGTCCACTCTGTCCGCCGGTGAGATTGACTCGTTGCACTCTCTCTAGTTGTTAAAACAACATGGGTAACGGTGCATCGTTCAAGGGGTCCCATCGGGTAATTTGCTTGATCGGACCCTTCAGGTCCGATCAAGCAAATTACTTTCGGCAGAGGTCCCATCAAGCAGATCTCTAGGCCTTCTCTACTATGTGTAACGAAACAAGGAGGTACTCAGGGAGTATTCCTAGTCAGTCATTCAACCAAGGATTTTTACACTTATACAAAATCTCATTTCCCCACTTAAAAAGAATAGCTTGCCATCCCTCCGTACTCCCATAAACTATGATTGCCTCATTGTTAAGAAGAATCATTCAAACAACCAAAACCAAATGTCTCTCCAAGTCGATACAGTGATCTTCATTCGAGCATTTTGTAGACGCATGCCTGACAAGAATTTGTATCCAGGCCAATAACTTTCTGTCCATACTTGCTTTGAGATATATACGCTGGATACCTGTGGTTAACTTTCGATGTAACTACTCAATATACATACCTTCCTTTGTATGTATATACAAAGGTCAATCTACAAATTCCTAACTTAAACCTCTTTCTGATTATTGACCTCACACCCGGAAATTGTCCGACGAGGACAAGCTGGTGTATCAGTCATCTGTTTTTAAGTTTCTTTTCCCTCCGCCGAGGCAAGCCTTGAGATGGGAAGAACTTGACAATATAGGAAAAATTAAGTCAACACTGACCCTATATCTATCTATACGGTCTATAATACGGGTGGTGTATAACCCATGCTATTTAAGTCTATATATTGAGATGGCTGTTGTCGAGTTCTTTGAATTTTAAGCGCTGCAACTAGTGCCACGACTGCTACTGCCAGCAGCAACAAGAGAATTAAAGTAACTGCTGTATGCCCGTGCTTCTTGTGCGTGTCCGGTCTTTCTTCCTGGTTCCACTTCCAAGTGTCCACGGAACCCTTGTGCTTTTCACCCCCAGCCTCACCAAGAATTGTTTGCAAACCACCCTGACAGCACGCCACCGAAAAATCATATATTGTTAGGTTCGAGACCAGAATTCAGATCAGCTTAAGCAGGTTGCATGATTCATAGATAACAGAACAAGTTCATGACATTCCTTCCTAAGTACAAACAACCCGCACATAACCCAGTACTTACTAATAAACAATCTCATAGACAAAGAAATTAACACACTACAATATTCGAGCTTGCGCCTTCGTTACATTAACACTGATAGCAATAAAAAAGCCGTAATGTTACCTGCATTACACCCGATATTGTCTGCGCAATTTGTGCCACAATTTGAGCATGTATATTCCTTGGATGATTTTTATTACTGCACCAGGCGCAATTTGGCTCTTCGGAAGGCCCATCACATATACCAACAAACCCAGGCACGGACTCTTCGGCAAAGAGATCACAAACTGGCTTGTCCCATATGTTTTGGAAAACCTCTTTGGCAGTAGATACTGACATGTTCGTACTGAACCCGTCTGAGGTTCTCTCCTGAATACTTTTCATGACCTGTTCAAGAAAAATAATAGATACTTGAGCCTCTATTTTCATTAAAAGAAAAGTTACGCAGACGCATTCACAACCAGAACACTGATCTCAGCATGAAACGATTGATCTCATCTAGTTGACAGTTGACAAAAGAGCAATGGCAGCTTCAGAAGAGAACTACAAATACACACCTCTCCAAAAGTTGCTGCCTGACCACAGCCACATGTTTGTGTTACGGCGTTACACATTTTCCTGCAGGGTAACCCAAGACTGGCAGTTTGAAGCATTCGCGGTACTGCCAACTGTAATGCTGAGACTGGTGTCAACTTCTTCAATGCAACTGACGATATCATCGGCTGTGTAGGAAAAGAAACAATTAATACCAGAACTATTTCGAGACCCTTCCACTGCAATCTAGCAAGCAAGCACTAAATCTCAATATTACGTGCTTGTGATGAAATATCGAAAAACGAGAACTACGACGAGCTTATAAATGTGGACAAATTTGTACAGTCCTATGTCGTTAAGAAAGAGCACAGATAATATAGCTCCGACTGATAAACCTTGTAAGCACATAAATGTCAAGTCATAAATTGATATGTTACCAGAATTTCATCCACGACTTTGTCGAATGTCCCACAAGCAGGCACAGTTTGGGCACACCAGAACTGATGAAGTGCAGCATAACATTTGGGACACGGAGGATCCCCTGTTCGAACAAGTTGACAAGTTTTCAGTCGCCAATAGCATAAACTTTACATGAGAATAAGGTTGTCAGATAAGTGTATATTTCAACATCTAACTTCAATCGCAGATCAAGTCGGCTCATATGGAGGTTTATTTAGATATTTACGGTAAAACAATAACGGGACTAGAGTACGTGCATTCTAGAATATGGATCCTGCACAAAGCATGAACTAAGAGTACACAGAAATACTTATCAAATAACTATTCAGCCACTACACGAAGAAAACTTCCAGCTTTCCATTAAAATTTAAATCAAATAAATAAATATGCTCAATGAACGTCAAGCAAACTATTATAGCGGAAACCTACTTTGTGTGCGACACCGGTCATTCTCTAGACATTGCTACTTCTTCTTAAGTCTTACTTGACAAGCACCCTAAGGTCGGCTAAAACATTAGTACGTCACAAGCCACTGCTGGGTTTCGGCGTATTGAACCATTCCAGCAAATTTCACTTCAGTCAGCAGAATCGAGCTCGGACACGTTGAACACATCTGGCATTCTTACTGCACAAAATTGATGGATGCAAGTAATTACCATTGTCTTTCGTTAGTATAGCTTTCATTACGGAGTCTGGGTCTTTGTGTATCCCTTCAAGTGCCTCCATCTCAAACGCGCAGTCCACACGCTTATTAAAGGAGCTGCACAACTTGGCATAATCCGAGTCTTCTGGTACTGCAACACAAGAATCAAGACCTCCAAAAACATTGCAGCGAGGGCCTCCTCCAACACCAACTAGAGCATCCCCGATTTTGTTCAAAATAAGCTTTTGAGAGGACAGTGGAAGTGCAGTTGCTGCTCTTAAAGCGTTTTCTAGCTTCGTAATAGAAGACCAATCTGCATACCCGTAACAATTCAAGTTGAGAAACTTAGCAAAGACCTCATTAGCTCGAGATTAGGCCTCATATACGACGGTTCGATCGACACTAGTTCACCGACCGATTCCACTCAATAATTACAGTTGATTCAGAATAGGGCATGCTCCACAGTAGTTCCACAAACGACATGAACGAGATATAAGCGCTTCGTTTTGAATTTAGCAGGCTTTAGGGTTTGGTTGCAAAATAAAAAAACTGAACAAACAGCTGCCCTGGCTACTTTTGTTATCTACAGAATTCTCACAGGGCAAAATTTTTTTTAAATGAAAAACGTCATTTATAGCACATAAATGCTGTCAATTCGAAAGCAAAGCTACCAGCGGTCCGAAAATCCTAGAGAGTTGATCGTCCTTCAAACGAGCTATCAGCCACACAAAATCAGACTGAAACCCTGCACAAAACTTCAACGATCGACATGTGCCAAATCGCCAGAAAGGTAAGGAAAACGCACCAGTAAACTCCGGACCGACATGTGCAGCTTGGACAGCGCAGGAAATCAAAACCAACCCGAAGAAGAAAACATAGCTAGAACACTGAGTCCCCATTCTGAACCACCACCACCACCACCACCACCAACACTGCTACCACCCGTCGTCGTTCATCAAGTGCTTCAGACCGACGTCTTGTATGAGAAGTGTGCGTCTGCGTGCGCTCCCTCTCGTCTCGCTGCAGAGCCAAGGCCTGATCGAAATTACAGAGTCCCAAATTCGACGAGAGGCCAGCAAGTCCACGACCCCGATCGCCCCTCACGCACTCCAGGTTCGTTCGTTACCACCGTCCCCGGCGACGGCTCCTCCGTGTCCAGGTCACCCTTCCTCGACTATCGATGGCATCAAGGATCAAGGATCAAGGCTCGTGCTCTTATTATTCCATTATTACAAAGTCAGGCTTGTAGCTTTTGTTTCTGACGAGCATGGCAGATAGATTTCTCAGAACTATCTCTCTTCAATTTCTTTTTCCTTCCTCGTCTCAGCAGGATTTCGAACAAGGTTCAAGGCATTTACGATCAAATTTACGAGGTACACTGCAGCTTTCAACTTATGATTTTATTAAGATCTTAATATACACTTCGGTGCAATTGATGTAGCTTTTTCATACGTCTTTTATGTACGTTCATGAGAAATTTCCGAACTTCAAACTTAGTTTGAGGTGGAATGAAATTAATGAGCATGTTCAAAATAATCTAAAAAAGTCCAAAAGATTGTACTATCTCTCTTCACACATTGAATCACAAGTCAATGCATTCATGCTATAATTCTAGAATTTAAAAATCTTACATATTTTTCTGCGTAGATTAAACTTATAAATTTTCCATGATAAAAATTTACAGTCGATGACATTCTTATACTAAAGTAATTGTTTTTTTAAAATTTGGAAATAATTTCTTTTCAAGTGGGAAAATTTCTCAAGATTGTCAAAAATAAATCTTGCAATACTTATCCATCAAAGTACTTTTGAACACACAGAGGAATTTGGTTGAAAACTGACTACTTCTTTTGAGTCATTTTGTGCACGCAGGGTGCTACTAGTTTCTAGAGCGGGCGATTATTTATCAAATCAATAACGACATGTTTATTTCTTGTTATTTTTATATAGGAATGATACATCTAATTCTATATTCAATTCAAAAGTGAAAATTTTTAATGAAACTCAGTTCCATGTAAAATTTTATAAACACTTAGAAATTATAATATATACAAGCTGAAGTGTATGAATAACGACTAAATTTTATTAAAATTCGCCTTTTTGAAACATAGGAAAGAATTAAAAAAATTACAAACTTTATTTAAAGAAAGATATGCCATTGTCACCATTCTGTAAAAGTTTCACATCTTAGACCTATTAAATTATTATCAAATATTTAGGAAATACTGGTATCCAGTCTTTAATCGAGCCAAATGAATCTGTGCAGGAAGAAAAATTGGGAATTTATTTCTGGAATAATATTTCCTAGCAACAGCGTTTGAAAACAGTTCTGTAGTGCTGCATATGGCAGTTCGAGGCCTTCTCGCATACTCTTATTTCTAACGAATAATAAATTGACATCATTAAATCATTTATCTGGAACCTTACATATTAACTTGTAATTAATGATCGTTACCAAATGTATAGATAACTGCTTAGCAAATTATTCTCCAGCATATTGTTAATATCCATTGAAATACCCGAATACGCAGGTCTTAGATGATTGTAGGTTGTGTTAGTCTAGTCATAGATATCTATGACATGGCTTGCAATCGTTGCAATCCTATAACCGTAACTCTCCCAAACTTTCACTAATAATATGTAGTAATAATATAGAATTGCTTAGCTACACAGCAATATTTACTTTTTAGGGACCTTCTACACAAAGAAAGGATGGAACCATACCATGTTCATTGACAAAGCCTCTGTACTGTAGTGAGTCGATCGCCGTGCTGCTAGAGTCATAATTTTACTGTTTTCATGAAGCACCAAAGAATATGCCTACATCTCTGCATACTGCATGAATCGTTTACGATTCTTCTAATCGACTACGATGGACATACCCTCACTGATGTAAATTTATGTGCTGAGCATGTGAGTCTGCCTGCGAGCGCACATGATTCGGTATGTCAATCATGAACTTTGAAATTCTCAAATGTGAATGAACAAAAATAAGATTATTTTCTGAACTAGCAAACGAATCCGCCCAGAGGTAATTTCGACAGCGTAATACAGCGTTTGTGCGCTCGCTTGCCTATTGGGAGACATGGCCAGGTAGCTCTGGTGAGGGCTGTTCGACGAGCTCCGGCTTTAACATACTCGGATTGGATCGTAGGTAGGCCGAGACCAAAGACAGGGGTTACCCTTTGCATTATATTCCCCGTGACAGTTGATCTTTGGTGCAGGTTATAGTCTCATCATGAGGATTTCATCGACATAAAAAAGACCGCAAGGGCCCTGATGCTGAAGGTCATTGCAAGCGTCTAGTATGAAAAGAATGAATATGATGGTTGATGGATGTATTACAAAAGTACTGACCACTACCCTGAAAGGTTGACAGACAGTACTAAGGAGTCCACATGTAGTTTGCTTGGATCTGCATATTGGTGCCAGAACATGAACTCCAATAAACGTTGTTTCCATTTCACCTCTCTTAACTGCAACAGTCTATACACCACGTCTGATTTTAGACCTCTCTGTGTCTCTCAGTTGTGAGGTTCGGGCTATTCCTTCCTGCCTGATCTATAATGCAACAAGGACCGCAATAAATCTACTTTCTTAGATGCTTCTTTGGATCGTAATTCGCATCTTGTTTCCAGACATTTGCAGTCTACAATCGTGAACCCGCGGAGGAACTAGTTGGCAGTGACCACATTTGATGATTGTGATCGCAGTCAAACCAGTCCGGTCTACCATGTGCCATCCACGTTATTCGACACATGCCGCCTTAGGGACTCGACAAATCCACGTAAATCAGTGTACTTGAATCCCTTGCGATTCATTTCAGATTGTATCCTCAGTTATAACCAGCTGAAACTGGTTTCCCTCAAACAAATTGCTTATCAATGATTGCCTGCGGGTATCTCACAAATTTAGGGTGCTCCTTTGCTAAGGCAAAAAAGCTTTTGGCACCCTCGGGCTAACAGCAGCAATCAGAAGATCAACCAAATGATGCTAAATGCTGATGCAATTGACTTGAGGACGAAGAAATGAACTGTGACTTCTCATTTGCAGTCTTTACAAGGCATCGTGAGTACTGGGACCGATACTTTTGGGAGAAAGGTGGCCCTGAACTAATGGCTTGGAAGGTCTTCAATCGTGATATGGCCACGTGAAGGTTTATCTTGCGGAGAATCCCCGCAGGTCGACAGGCCATATCAAAATGGACCTTTAGTGGGGGTTTACGTACAAGTCCTCATATAAGTTAAACCGAAATCGTTTAGTGCAGATCGGGACGTGATGATTTAGTAGCTCTTCATGGATCCACTATTACAGTACATCTATAGACCACATAACTATCACTCTCTCTCTCTCTCTTTATTTATATATATATATATATATATATATATACCTACCTTTGATAATTGTCAGGTGTCAATGCAAATGTGGAACTGGGCCTACCATTGTATTGATCACGTATATATTTTACTCAACGTTTGAAAGTATGTGATGGTGTTCAACATCACCAGGTCCTGTAGGCTACGGTGACCACTCTGCTAACAAGACATTAAAATTATGGATATTCAAATGATCGGTTCAGTCCTTTGGTCATACTACTGGATGCCAACTCTGGGGTATCTTCACTCACTGCGGGACCGTTGCAACTTTGCACACCAGATTTTATTTTGTACGATGAAATCGCACGGTAAATGTTTAAACTCCTTCATGTTGGCTCCAGAGGCACAATGAAGCAATGGAGACAAACCATCGATGTTAATCAGGAGCCAATGTATGGCATAAGCTGACAATGTAGAAGCCTGTTTGCATCAGCATTTGAGAATTCAATTCTCCTCTAAAAGACTCATGACGAACTCAGTCCAGCGTCCTGCTCAGCAGAAACACAAGTGCAAATTCTAGCAAAACATTGGTCGAGTCAGATCGATGGTTCAATATAGAGTGCTGCGAGATCAGCGGCTCAGAGTCTGAAACAAAGCTCCAGAGACGTTTCATATCAGGTCAACTCCTTGTAGATTCTTAACAACAAATTGGTGAAACTCTAGTTCGTAGATTTCTCTCTAGAAAATAATGATTAGTGAAGGCTGAAACTTGAAATGGTCTTTCAGATTTTATTTAGTCATAGGTTTGAAAATTAAAGATCCCATAATTATCGTAGGCGAACTATTGTTAAGCATTCTTATGCTTAACAATTTATGGAAACAATAGAGATTGAAATCATTATTTTTAACAAAAATCTTGATTTAAAATAGATGAAGAGAAATATCACAGAGTCGAAAATTTTTTTATAATCACAAATTCAAAAAAATGAGGTTTCAAACACAAAATGAAATATAAATACTTTTTAATTAGTTCAATATGAAGTATGTTTATATACATATTATTACCTGATGATAGTATTTGCATCGTTTGGAGTAAATGAACCCAATCCAGCAATTGTTTTCTCAAGTACATGATTCTAATTATTGATACGTACTAGCATCATATACAATTCTACATAACCTATAAACATATCATAAATCAATTTCAAGATCAACTATCTCTTGATTAATAGATTAATGGAGTGCTAGTTATCCTTCACTTAGGGCTACTTAGCCCTCATCCTAGTATACGCTCTTCTTATATTTGTCCACCATCCTATTTTAGAATTAGGTGCTACTCATACCAGAAACCCTATAACCCTGCATCTACCAAGAGCTTGGAGTAGAATGAGGGGTTATTAGCTCCCTTGATTAATCATTGTATGTTCCGTATATTTAATAAATACAATGACAAAAATTTCAATCAAGTAACTAAAATTAAGTTAAAAATTATATATATAACTATTTTGGAAATGAAATTTAACTTAAAAATCAAAAAAATAAAATCTTCATCACAAAATGTTTCAATTTTCTAATTATAGTAAATATGATAAACACAAACGTTTTATATTATTTTAAAGTTTATTTTTTAGACCGGAGCTCACAAATTTCTCAAGTTTCGAATTGATGTTTCGAGTGTTGGAGAAGAGATCATTTCTTCCAATCCGAGTTTTTACCGAGACTAAAACTTTGCATGGGCATGGAGTTGGCTAGCGCGCTCTTGCCTACAAAATTTTACGCATTTTGGTGTCATGACGCCAAAGTTCACGAATTTCTCGAGTTTCGAGATGGACTTTTGAGTGTTAGAGCCGAGATCGTTTCTTGCAAAGATTGTTTCTTCACGTCCAAATGTCCACCAAGGCTAAAAGTTTGCACGGGCGTGAAGTCGTATAGCGCGCTTTGGCCTCCAAAATTTCAAGCATTTTGGTATTGTGCAGCCAAAGTTCACGATTTTCCCGTGCTTCGAGTGTTGAGATCAGGATTGTTTCTTGCAAAGATTGTTTCTTCGCGTCAGAGCGACTATCGAGACTACAAATTTGCAGGTTTATGGAGTTGAAAAGCGCGCTCAGGCTTGAAAAATTTCACTCATTTTGGAGTTGTGACACCAAAGTTCACAAATTTCTCTAGTTTCGAGTTGGTGTTTCTAATGTTGGGGGCGAGATCATTTCTTGCCGAGATTGTTTCTTTGCGTCGGAGTGCCTACCAAGGCTCAAGATTTGCAAAGACCTCGATTTGGGTAGCGCGCTACAGGTTGCAAAATCAAAGTAAGAGCAAAGTCTTATTGATTGATAAATTGAAAAGCTACATTTTCTTTTATTATAACTTTTAATGGATTAAACATAATTCTTGAAAAAAATATTTAAAATGATTTTTTTTGCAAATTCACAATAATTGAAATTTTACCTGCATTTGTTATAAAATCATTTATTAATATTTTTTGCATGAAGCTAGTCTGATCATTATGAAATAAAATTTTGATTATTAATTTTATTAAGCATAATTACTCTCAAATTTTACAATTAATGTGAACAAAAATTCTAAGGTATAATTATTTATAAAATTTATGGTTGGAAGAGTTATTGGGCAAATATCATAAAAAATGAACTTATCTCTAGAGAATTAAATTTGATATTAAATATTAAGTAAATTTTAAACATTATAATCTGTGATAATGATTTTAGTTTAAAAAAACGTATTAGATTAAACACCTACAACATAAGAATTTTTTTAATAAAAATAAACTAAAATTTAATTAACAATATGTATATTATACATGATTTATAATTTAATCATTTAAAAACTCTGTACACAGATTATAACAACTTTTAGTCATAAATTGAAATAATGATTTGAATCATTAGTTGATAGTTTAAAATATAATGAATGAAATTAAATTTTATTTTTAAAAATATATTAATATAAAATTTTCATTTTATATAAATTAAAATTTTTAATATTAGAATGAAAATAATAGAATATATTTTCAAGAGATACAAATCAAAGAAATAGATTTTGAAGGATTTGCATTATAATTTTAATATTGTTTTGTAATGATTTTTTTAAAGATTACATAATTTTAAATAACATATATAAAATTTTTTTAAAATTCTAAAAATTCAATTTTATTAGTTATGATGAATTGAACATTTAATATTTATATCACACACACAGTAGGGAAAAAATTGTTAATACATGGTTCATTTTAGTCAAACTATGTAGAATAGACCTCAAGTCTATTGTACATAGTTTGACTATGTACAATAGACTTGAATTTTAAATTAAAAAAATTCAAATCATCCTTTAATGTGTTTTTTGTTATCATATTTTTTAATTTAAATATATTAAAATAATTTTTTGAAAAATCTTAAATTAGAATGAAATCATATACAAAACATGATAAAATAAAATAAAAATGTAACTCAATTGCTAGTTCAAAAGTAAATGAATTTTGTACAAAATGTGCATAGAAGCATAATTTCTTTTAAAATTTTTATCCATGTTGTTCAATGCATCACTTAGATTAAATTTGATTAAATCAACCTTTTTATTATAAAATGCATACTTATGTTTATAAGATTTATTTTGAAATCCATCATTTGATTTTATTTCATGATTGAATATATTTAGAATCTCACAATAAAGTTTATAACATCTTATTTTAATCCTTTATCAATCTTAATTTTTTTACGGATGAAACTTTTTTCTTCACCCGTAAAAAATGAAAGATTGATAAAGGATTAAAGATGTGAATGTTACATATAAAGCCCCATTAGTTGAAATTATCTCTTAGAAATAAGTACATTTTCAAATAAAAACACGGAACTAGTAGTAGAATTTATCATGTATAGATATTGGAAATAGTTAGAAACTTTGTAATTCAAGAAATATTTGATATCGTCCAGTAAATTATTTGAAAAAAAATCCCTAATAGTAACTACTCTTCTTCATAGTTGAAGATTAAATTCACTACTTTTCAAGGCTCTTTTCATGGATTTGACATCTATATATATTCACATTGCTCAAAGTTAGAGCACCACTAGATATCCTTCACATCATTGCCTTGCCATAGAAAACTAATGACATTTTTTTAATATCCGATATCATCAATTACATTATTAACTATAGAAAATTTGAAATGTGATGTCAAACGATTTCAAATATAAACTGCTACAATTTTCAAACATTGAAAATTGTTTAAATAGTTTAAATCTATACTTACATGGCATCAAGTTGATTTGTAATTTTTTGCCAATCAATAATCCTATGTTTGGATTAAAAATTTATTGTTTTAATCAGTTACCACAACTTAACTAACATTTGATTTATATAAATAACGCTGTTTATTGATATTTAGTATATCATCAAACCACAAAGAGTTGTATAAACAGGTGCAAAATTATACACTTGATATCAAGATATCTCAACATCACGATTAACGAGATTACTCATGACGCATGGAACTCATTACTTATCCTAACGATTTCAATCTGTCACAATAGGGAATATGGAAACTTTATTGCCAATACCGGACCAACCGGTGGCGCAGGGCAGAAGGGCGTGGAAACGTGACGGGTTCGGATGGTTCGACCGGTCATGAACCGGCTACAGAGAAGTGGTGGCCGAAGTGTGGCAGCCTGGGACTTCGGAGCTTCGAACGCGCAAGCTTTGGCGCTCAGAAATCGTGATTTCGGACTCAGGGGCTCGACCAACAGCAGCGCCTGCTGATTTGTACTCGCTGGGACGAGACACCGAACGACGAACGAGCGCAGGACTTACGTTTCGCTGGCGCCAGCAGTGAGCTCGCTCGCTGCGTGGGAAGTCCTGGGAAATCCAGGACGAACTGCAATCTTGCCCTTTCCGAAGGGTAGACAGAGACCTCAGTCATCAGTCGGTTGTGCTGCTCGTACTTGTCGTGGAATTTGCTTGACGGGATCGATTGTGGTGGCTGAGTGGAAGGGATGCCTCGACCTTGTCGTCCTAGCGCATGATTAGGTTTGGCAACAGAGGTGGAAGAGCGAATGCGGAGTTATGTGAGTGTTTGAGGGTGAGGGTGAGGCGGGAGGGAGAGGAGGAGAGCGACAATGATGGACATTTCAGGTGACGGGAAAATGTTGGATGCGGCTCAGCTGCAGAGAGTTACAGAAGCGTGGATTGCGTTCTCGGAAATGTCTGACTCTTTGTTGCAGTCCGGTGGAGGGATGGCCCTACTGTGGTCGGAGTTGGAGAAGGCCGAGTGGGCCAACAGTGTGCAAAATCTTGGGAATCAAGGTTTGGCACATTTGGTTGCTGGCCACTTCCTCGACGCTCTTGAGGTACTTGGTTTGACAAATTTTTGTTTCGGAGTAATTTGAATCTCGAATCTTCCAGAGGTTTTTGCTTGAGTAGAATCAGATTTTATTTTGTGTTTAGTGCACACGATCTTGGACTGTATTCTTCAGTTGCCAAATTATTTAGGTGGTCAGCTCAGTGGTCGAGCTGAACTCTTGAATGTCACCTTGGTACTTAGGTTTGTCGCAAGTTCTCGATCTTGTCTTTTCACATCGATGTTAGGAAGGAATGTGACAACTTTAGTGCGCTGATGAGTACCCCGCCCATACAACAGGTTTAAACGTTCCCAGAGATCTTAACTTTTGGTTGATCGCTCCTGACTTGAGCTTTGTGCTGTAAATTTCAGAGAAGTTTCAAGCAAGAAGTCCTGCCAAAGTTCTTGCAGCATTTTGAGGAATTTCCCAAACTCAAAAGCGTGTCCAAGCGCAATATTGCCGGCACCAACAAGGTACTTGACTCAATGCTGAACCAATTCAAAGCTTCAAACTAGCTTCGTGATTAGCTATTTGTAGCGGTTGGTGACGTCTGTTAGTAAGCTTTATGACTAGGAAACAGGAGGGGGTTTTGTTCAAGTTTGACGTATAAAGGTTTTAGAGATAATTCTTCGGTATCGCTGGCTATTAGGTAGACTACGATGTAGAACTGAGAGCCCATGGAAAGCAGAACAAAAGGGTGATGTTGTCTGATTATGTTCTTGCAGCGTGTGGTGGTTAATGGCAATGAGGAAAAACTTCTGCGGCCAGTTTATCTGAAACTCAGTGTGGCAGAGGAGTAATTGACCTCTGACCGTTGATGCAGCTCCATAACTGGGTTGAAACAACACTCCCCCGAGCATTGGCCGAGATTTGTGCTGCGAAATCTTCTCAGGAGGACTGTTTATCTGTGCTTGCACATGTCTTCAATTTTGACTTCCGGGGCACTGGTGCAGGAGTTAGGGATGGCAATATGAAAATCACGACGAATTCGGGCGTTGCCTTATTTTCACAGTATCAGACTAGTGTTAACGCCATGCTTTTGACGAGTGCCCCGAAGTATATTTCAGGTTAGGAATTCAAGTTCAAATATTTTTATCGCATGCCTTTCCTGACGGTAGTTAAGACTTTTGCTCCAGGAGACTTCTGAGCAGAAAGCTGATGCGTGGGTCTTGATTTCACGCCGCGTGTCTCAGAGGTGATGAATTTGTACTGTAAAGCTCGTTTGGAGGAGTTCAGTAATCTAGTAAAGAAGCAGCGTTCCAATCGGAGCCCTCACGGAGTCGGTGACAGTGATGACGATGAAGACGGTGGGAATAGTACATGTAATCAGAGTGGAGAAGATGATGACATGGAGAGTGTCCCGGGCAGTAGCCGAACATCAATGTATGTAGAGGATATGGATGTTAGTGGGAGCGGAAGTCTTTATGGGAAAAGAGCTGTGGCCGATGAAGATGCTGACCATCAAATGGAGGGAATTGAAATTTCAGAAGCCAGTGATTTGAAACTAGGAGCGGGGACGGCCTTGAATGAGGTTGTGGAAATTGTGGGCGAAGACTGGGTTACAGAAGTTGGCAATGTTGTGAGGCATCTTAGAGAGCTGGGCTTTGCATCTATGAGTGAAGAGGGATACGCTTCTGCTATATACTCTCTTCTTAAAGTAAGTGCGAGTTTCTTTCTAACTAGAGTAATATTTTATTGATTTGTGCAAGATCATTCCTTTCTTTGCCGACCTTGTGGAGGTTTCCTTTTTTTACGGTGCTGTTTCATTGCTGGTAAAAGTAGATGGCTATCGATTTTTTTTGCAAAAAACACGTCATTATCTAGGTTGCATGTGATGACTACGACAGAAAAGGCGTATCATTTGTTTCATTCTGTCTTGCAGGTGAAAATCCATGCTGTAGCTACAAAACGTTACGAAAAGCCTGTTCTGCGACCTGTTAGCCGTTGGATCGAGGTGATTTTTCGGGATGCTAGATTTACTGTGCCTTTGTCTTCCTGGATAGCATCCATCCGTGATTATGTCGTGTTTTGTCCATGTTTAAATACTGACGACTTTGACAATGCAGGCTGTTCCTCTTCGCTTCCTTTCTGTTATCCTTGCCTTCTCTGGTTCTGGTACTAGTGGCGGAATGACTACCTCACCTACCGTTTTAACGGCTCATAGAACCGATGAAATTTTGAATGAGGGTATACTCAGATGGCGCTCCCGGCTGCAATCTTTTGCCAACGAGACCCTCGGGGATCTTAGAGTAAGCGAGCTCTTTGACATCATTGTGGATTTTCCTGAAAGGTAATCATTAGGATGTGGACTACACCTTCTTTATGACAAGCATTGAGTCTCCTTCGTTTAAACGTTTTTACTCATTCTACATAGTCCTGCTTCATATTTTTCTTGCAGGTACTTAAGTAGCAACGGTGATGTTAGAATCATGCATAAGCAAGAATTGCATGTTTGTGTTCGAGTAAGTTACAGCTGAGCAAGAGAAGTCAGGGATGCTAATTATATCTTTCTTGTGTTTCTTACATCTAACCCGAAATTTAAATAAGTCACGGTTGACTGTAACAATGTTTCTAAATATTTGGATATTTGCTCAGTCCCAAAATAAAAATTCTACCTTATCATCTGTGCAGTTTGGCAGCAGTTGAGGATCTCAAGCAGTGTCTAGCCAACACAGGAGACCATGCTAAGCTGGTTGACTCATTTCGGGACGCATTGAAGCAGCGATTGCTCACCGCAGGAGCTGCTACAACCGATATCTTGCTGCAGTACATATCTACTATCAAAGCTTTGCGCACTTTGGATCCAACGGGTGTAGTTTTGGAGGCTGTTGGAGAACCAATTAAGGAGTATCTTCGGGGTAGAAAAGACACAATACGGTGTATCGTGACTATGCTTACGGATGATGCGGGCCCCGGTGGGTCTGGTGGACTCAGTGGTGTTGGGGAGAGTTTGCTTGAGGAGCTCAGCAGAGGGGCTTCTTCCTTAGAGAACGCCGATAGTGAAGATGATGCAGATGTTGATGGGGATGAGGCATGGGCTGCTGCCGAGCGGTATGAATTTCGAAGTAGACCGATGTTTTGCCCACGATTTTTTAAACAAGATTCCACTTGTAACCATTTCCTAACAAATCGAGTATGTCTTTCATGGATGTTATTAGAAGGTATAAAAACTGATGCCATTTTCATTTTTGCGCATGCTTCCATTGTGATGCGTGGGTGCAGCTGGGAGCCCGATCCCGTTGACGCTGATCCGTCACGAACCAGCAAGAGCAGGAGACTTATGGACATCATAGGCATTCTGGTTGGCATTTATGGGTCCAAGGAGTTGTTTGTGAACGAGTATCGTGTCATGCTAGCGGAGAAACTGCTGAATAAGTCTGATTATGACACTGACCGGAACATACGAACACTGGAGCTGCTGAAAGTAAGTCAGACTAATGCTGATGGCTTTCAAGGTTCAAAGTCTTCTCGCAATTTCTGACAGCGCCGTATTCTCGAAGTTCCAAATCTACATATGTTCCTCCTCTTGCTTACCGATAAAAGTCGTCATTTTCGCTAATACTCCATGTTTCTGTACTGAACAGTTAAGGTTTGGAGAGAGCAATATGCATAGTTGTGAAATAATGTTGAAGGATGTTGCCGACTCCAAGAGGATAAATGCAAATATCAAGGCCTCTAAGTCAAGCAACGACCCATTAGTTTCTCAAATACGCTCCTCTCGCTTGCCTGCTCCAACAAGCCAAGAAGGTGGGGAAGGATATATGGCCAATGGTAAGATTGAACAAGAATTGACCTTGGACGTTGTCGATTCCACGATCATTTCATCACTCTTCTGGCCTCCTTTCCAGGTATATTGACCACCAGCATGACCTTCTTCTATCTAGATCTTGAACTTCGTTAATATTTGTGGACCATAGAGCTTTGTAAGGATGCTTCAATTTAGGAGTGTTTATGTATACTCTACATCGCCTACAGAGCTTCCAAATATAACGGCAATATTAGTATGGCTTCAACCAATGCTTTGTTCTGGCTTATCACTTCCGTGTCAAATATCCATTTGCCAAATTTCTTATCCTGCACGCCTTCAACGCTGCAGACTGAGACGATAAAAATACCAGAAGCGATGGAGCATGTTCTTGATGAATATGCGCAACGTTATCATGCTCTTAAAGCCCCGAGGCAGCTTCAGTGGAAGAAGCACCTTGGAACTGTGAAGGTATACCGAAGGCCTACACAGTTCGTTTTGAGTTGTGTCATGTAGAGAGGTCCTAGATTCTATTAGGAAAGAGAGCTTCAAATTGTTAGTTTAGGCCCCTATAGCCCATACTGTGAAGTTGCTTTTGAACATGTGTATTCAGTAGCAAAATGCCCTGTTTGGTGTTTTGCCTGCTTGACAGAAGATTTGTTCTCGCCAACATTTTCAAAGCACAGTAAGCTTCGGCTTTAAAGTGACCTTCAAAACGCGAATCTTTTGTTTTGTCAGTTAGAGCTGCAGTTCGAGGACCGATCTAGTCAATTTGTGGTGTCGCCCCTACATGCGTCCATTATTATGCAATTTGAGTCTCAATCAAGGTATGACTTTTTGCATCTCTTGGTAGCAACACTGTTCTATCCTGGATTTGGGAATGTATGCTGTCTTGGTTGGAGGTTTGATCTTGTGAAGATTGAGTTTCAGGCGGCTGTGTTGTGAATCCGTCACCCTCCTTGGAGTAACCAAATATTGACCTTCTGCAGGTGGCTAGCCTCCGACCTCGCGTTGGCTGTGGGTGTTCCATTAGTAAGCCTGCGTCGGCGCATAATGCTGTGGGTAAACCAGGTCTGTATTCGGCAGAGTGACTTCTATCCATCATTTTTGAAGGAAATACTTTACCGAAGACTACATGATCGGCCTAAGATGCTAACTGTTATCTGGATGATTCTGCCACGCCTTCCTTGGATTGCATGGTCCATTCGCCCGTCAATTTTTACGTATCGAACAGTACGTGACTTATGAAGCTATCTTGATGGTGAACGCAGGGTGTCCTAGTGGAGTCACCTGGACCTAGAGATGGAGAGTGGTCGTACACTATCGTCGAGAATATCGGTGAAGTGGGAAACAGAACTGCAGGTCCCTCAGCAGCAGGGGATGCAGCGTTGCCACTCTTAGGAGAAGAAGATGGCGAAAGTGCTGTGGCCTCGATGGAAGATCAGTGGCAGCAAGAGATGAGTGTTTTTGAGGTAAAACTTGTTTTGCACCTCCACGTCGAGGCCACAAATCATGTCGCCAACTATTACACCTGTCGATTTTTGTTCAATCTGGAACTTCAGCGCAACCGTTGGATTCTGTACAATAGTGAAGGCTGCCTACCCATGGTAGACAGGGTAGAAGATGTGGTGATGGCAGGACTATTTCTAACATCTGGCATTTTCCTGACTGAGTGGCAGTCTTACGTGGTTGGAATGCTGACGAACTTCGAGTCTTTGCCTCTTGATCGGATACACAACATGCTTAAAGTGAGTGCCACCTACTTATTTCGAAGATTCTCTTAGTAAATGCTTTGTTGATACCGCTTTTCTCATCTTTAAAGATGCCAGCTGCTAAACTGCTACATTCTGTTTTGCAGATGTTTGTGTCAGACCCACCTTATGATAAGTCCCTGCCTCAGCTCCAAGGATTTCTTGCCCGACTTGTTTCAGAGGAGAAGCTCGAATTTAGAGAGGGTTCCTATAGGCGAAGACAGTAGTTGGCGCATTCACATTTATGAGATGTCGTATCAGCTTAACGAAACGGAATTTTTGTAAGGCTCCATTCAGTTACTGGTAATTTTAACTACTGCTGAAGCAGTTGCACACTGAACAAGTTGAAAGACTGGAAATTGAATGTATGTAAACTCATCAGTGTCTTGAATTCTTGATTTTAGAGGTCAACAATCTCTGCATCTGTCGGTCAAAAGGCGATACGACTTTGACTCACCTTACGTCAATCGCAATTCAAAGACTTGTCGTAAAACCTCATAAAACGGATAAGGTGACGTTTTGTCTGCAGGGATAACATATACTCCAGTGTCCATTTTCTGTGACCACATGAGCCTCATCGCGAACACCACTCCAGGACCAAACGAATACGCTCGAACCACTTAATTTTACTGGCCAGGGCTTTTACTGGACAATGGCCGACAGGAATGTGAAGAACCTTTTGCTGATTCGGGAGGAAGGAGTCTCGAATGTGCAGATTCTCTGAACGTAACCCTCTTCAATGGCTCAACGAATCCATAAGGCGAGTGAGAATGACGGAAAGTTCACACACTATGACTGGAATTTGAACTGGTTGCCCAGTAGCAGCCCTGCAGGTCGGCCCCAGCATCCTCTATAGTCGGACGTGCTTCGCCTCTGCTGTCAGAAGCACACATCACGAATCTGGTGGACTATTACAGTTTGGATCAATACTGAATGAAGTCAAGTGTATGAACTTGCATGCCGGTTACGCTCGAGGCAGTTGAACGAGTTTCTAACGTTTTCCTGTCGCTGCTGGACACCGATTGCACACCTCCCTCAACCACTTGTTGGCGAGCCGAGCAATCTCTGATTTGCCGCTCGCTGAATCGGATTGGGAACACTACCAATGATGGTACCCGTGTGCTCTGCTCGCCTTCTAACCTCTAACACAGGTTCACGGCGTTCAGGCCTACAGCAACGCCTAGGTCGGTCAGGACTCAGGAGACGATGATATGTATTGTATTTATGTCAGTCTCGGGATTCATTAGCCGAGACCACATGGGCTAAACAGCACGTCTGACACAGTTTACCATGGCGAGTGTGAACAAGTTTCTATCTGTTGGCATGCATGAGCGCCGATTGGCAGGTCACTCCGATTGGAGTAGATCGAGGGGACTGACGCTGCGTCTGTTGCCACTAGAACCGCCAATGGCGTTTCTTTTCGAGCCTAGTCTTCTTCGCTTTCCCACAAAGGCCAGTGTAACGTGCGTCTCTCTCCGAGGGCGACCGTGGCGCCATTTATATTAAAAAAGTCCGTGCTTAGATCTCGTCAAGACACGGACTTGCCTCCCCTCCCCTCCCTTTGCCTTGCGAGCATGAGGAGGGAGTGCTCGAGGAGAACAGGATGGGCACTCTGATCCGAATGATGCAGTAGTGATTGAGCTGATGAGCGGATACGGAGCGGATAGGAAGTGATCAGATCATTGGAACATCGTTGTAATTCATTGGCGGGAGCCTCCATCAGTAAGTCCATATCAGTAAGAGACGGACTGGCTTTCACCGCCTCTCGTGTCTCGACATTGGATCGTACGCTCAGCAGCATGTGCGCGAGAATTTCTCACACCCCAAACACTCTCCAAGTCACCTGCTCCGCTCTGAAATTCATCGTCGGGGACGATGCCACAGTCCCTTGGGCCACAGCCAGTTAAAATAATGATAACAAACAAATCTGACATTCACCCACATTAAATTCGAGTTCATCAAACTCGATATGATTCTCAACATGATCCTGTTCTTTCTTTTTTTCTGTCTGTGTGTCTGTCTGCGAGAGTTCTCCTTCCTGCATGAGAGGAGAGTTCAAATTTCGATCCACAAAGTGATGGATCTGGGCCCTGTCAGGGATGTGCTGAAAACCTCACTCGCCTCGTAAGGCCCGTACAAGCCAGCCAGTGGCGGACTGGACTGCGTTGCGCCTTCTGCACAGGTCAGAATATCCTGCAGCACATCTGTCTTATGAGTATGATCATGAGTGCGGAAGTCATGATTTGCGCTTCCAGGACCCGCAGAAAATTGGGTGCTCGATGCTCGACGCTCATGGGTTCGGAATCCCGCTCGGCCTCGAAAGGACGATGGGCACGAGGTGGAGAACTGGTCATTGGCCCGCGGCACCGAGAGCATACCGCAAGATCGAAGGCAGCAGATCAGCAGATCATCACGTATCACATGTCAAGCGCTCGAGGGTCCAGTCACAGGCAGGCTCCTTGGCTGGCGCACCGGGAACGCACGCTACGGAGCATTGTGGCCATGTGCGAGGGCACTACACGTATAGTCCTCGAGGCACGGAGGCACGGAGGGAGGGAGGCAGGGAGGCTCGACTGCATGCATGTACAGTCGAGCCTCCCTTGCTCCCTCGAGGCTCGAGGAAGAAGACTTTGCCTTGTGGTTGGAGGGAGGCGTTGGTGCCCACTGGCTGTGCACGAGCCCCAAATCATTTGGACTCCGCTCATTAGCTCCATTGTCGGTTCAGCTCGTATCCACTCGGAATCTGGAATATCTCGCACCGACTTTCATTACGTAGTCTCTAACTGTAAGTACTCAGTAAGCTGTACACTTCGCCTCCCCCTACCCTACCCAGGCACGGCCCTGGTCACACATCCAGTTCCAAGACCACTTTCGTACGCCGCTGTCGCTGCTGCTGCTGCTGCTGGTGTGTGTGTGCCTCCAAAGTTCCAGTCACGGATGAAAACTCACAGCAGACGTCAGGACAATTGGCGATAATTATTGTCGTCGTCGTTGTTGTTGAATTTCCAAATGTTTCCAACATGCCGTCCTCTACTCCCTTTCCTCGCTCCTTCTCTCTCTCCTTTTGATGCCCGGCCACTCACATTGCAAGCAAGTCATCCTCCCGAGACGGTCTCCGGCACTGTGGATTTAACTAGACTAACTAGCTTCGGGCTCCAGCGGTGACTGTTTCAACACAGAAATTTCATTGCTCTTAATCTCTCTCTCTCTCTCTCTCTCTCTCTCTCTCAATATCTCAGTCCCAGTCTGAACTGTAATATTCCTTTGGGCTTGCATGCAGGTCTCTCTGAAGTTGTGGTCATCAGCATCTTTCCTTGGCATTAGCTGTCGATGCTTTCCTTTCACCATGTCCATGCCGAGAGTTGCATGAGAGTTGCATTCCAGTGAACAACCTTCTCGAGGCCTTAAAAATTGTATGTGTGTATGTGAGAGAGAAAGAGAGAGAGAGGTGGGAGAGTCAGGCTTTATCTAAAAAATAGTACTGTGTGAGAAAGAAAGTGAGCACAGACCAGTTCTGTTTAAGCTCAAATCTTCCCTCACACAGCCACGCGCAATTTGCCACAGATGTAGGCCACCAAACCAATCCACCCGTTACACAAGTGCCAAGCAACGAGAAGCTCAGAAACTGAAAACAGCTAATGGTATAATAAGCGTATGGACGACTGTATACTTGACCAGAGACGGATATGTGGATTTGGAGACTCTGGGTGTAGTATTATCCAAAAAACAAGCTCCAAGTCCAGTCACCAACATCCATCCACAGCGAGGTGACTTCTGGGTTCCGTGCATGGGATGGTATGGGATGTGCTCGCATCTTCACTACAAGAAAGTCGTCCTACTTGCAGGAACCTTTTCCTAGGACCCAAGACTGCGACTCATATGGAGAGATGGTCTGCTCTCTGCAGACTGTCTGTCTGGCAGTGACTCCCTGTGACTCAATTGAACTAAAACACAGCGTGCCCGATTCCAGCCAAATTACAGTCAGTGCATAAGTACTCAAGCTACATATCAACAAAGTTTCAGTTCACCTTCAAGTTCACAGCCTTCTGTTATAGTGGCAGTGCTTGCGAATGGGTCTCTTGGACTCTCAGAGCCAAGGTCTCCACGCACTTAAATTATTCAGAATGACCACAATCACTCACTCCATCAGTCTGTAGTTGTAAATGTCTCCTAGTTATCTCCACTGCTACCTTTAGTGACGCGAATGTGGAGATAGAAAAAGGCTTTTTTCTTAGCACGAGCAAAGGGTATGAAGAACCTGCCAGTTCCAAAAAGAATTCCAAAAAGAAAATAAAAATCTATGGCGAGATGTGGTTTAATAGGATACGGCATAGGGCGAAAATACGCAGCTCATCTATCCATGTCCAGGCTTTTACGTCCGGGTTAAAAATTTAAGTCCTACTCGTTTAAAATTTAAACGACCAGGACTTATGATGTCACCGTCTCGCTTTATCCTCCAGTCACCCTCATCAAAATAATGTTGTTTGGATGACAACTCTGAAATTGGTCTGAAAAATAATTAGCCAGTGATCACTGAATAGCAATAGAAATTTGTGACGCTATCTTGTGCCCGTGGAAGTTTGACTTCATAGGATTACATAACACCAAAGCTACAGTAACAAAGAGTATACTTGCTTCTAACCCTATACTTATATACATCAAAATTTTCGGTTGTACTTGCTTCTCATGAGGATGGGTAATTCCACTCCTAAATATTTTGATCTATGTAATATAACAACATGATCATCTCAAACTAGTTATTGATCAAGACTAACCAAACTGCAAAACATATATTGGTATTATTTGCAGTTCACTCAACAGTATATTTCCACCCTCACTCATTACAGCAAACGCCATGTCTTGAATGGTATTGTGGATAGAAGAGAATACGTCTTTCCACAAGGAAAGGTTAGTAATGTGACCACATGGTGGATTTACCCCCATATACATATATATATATATATATATATATATATATAGTTGTAGTGTAAGTAAATAGTACAGGATGAAAATACAGAATGCAAAATTTACCAGCAAGGTTTCATATTTTTTTTAAAGCAAGAGCATAAACGGCTGTTCCTACTTAAAAATCTGTTGATTAAGAATGGTCAGATCTAGAAAGAAGGAATGTGTAGCATGCTGAACCATGGTATCATAAAAATATATTATACTTCTCTAGCTAAAAGTAATGGGCAAAGAAGAATAAGAGAAAAGCTAATGTAGTGTCTTTTGGATTAAAAGGATCTTGTGCAGAGTAATATTTTATGTCCAATTTTTAGGTGTAGTTACATCCTCCCAAATATCTCATAGGCATACATGCAATTGCAGATAAAATTATGA